AGCACAGCACAGCTCAGAGAAGACAAATGCCAGCTGATGACTCTGCCCTTTAAAAAAAAAAACAAAATAATTCAGGAAAGGTTGGTTAAGTAAGAAAACTGGCACCCACTGGCTGAAAGGAGCTTTGGGGATTACCCAAAGATTTCACTGGTGTGCCTCCTATTCTACCATCCCCATAAGGGAAGAGTAGGAGAAAACAAGATTAGAAAAACATTCTGAGTTTCTTTTAAATTTTAACAGATCACCCTAGTCCAGTCTCTGTCTTTAGTAAGGGGGTACAACTTCTGACTCTTCATCCTCTTGGAAAGTTGGAAGGCTTCACTTCAAAATACACTGGATATTATCTTTTCAACTGTATGAATACTGGCAGGAGACCTGAGACAGTGAGCCCAAAGTACAGTAGCCCTCCTTATCCAAGGGGCATATGTTCCAAGATGTTTGGCGGATGCCTAAAACCCCAAATAGCAGTGAACCACATATATACTGTTTTTTCCATGTATACACACCTACGATAAGGATTAATTTATAAATTAGGCACAACACCCATAAAACAAAAAATTAAAATATACTGTAATAAAAGTTATTTAAAACTTATGGATAGTTTATTTCTGGAATTTTGCATTTAATATTTTTGGACAGCGGTTGACCATGGATAACTGAAATGATGGATTGGGAGTGGTCTACTACAGAAGGAAAGTCATTTGGGGAAAAATAGCCTATTCTTCTCAGACAGCGTCTCTCAATTAAGCAACTAGATGTCCACCACTCTTCTTTGCAAGACATATAAAGGGCACTATGCAGATGATTTGTGCAAAATTTCTGTTTACTTGACCTGGAAAAAATTAAAGCTGGGCTTTGTTTACAAAAACATCAAGTCGTTAAAAGGAGAGAATGAGAGTTGGTGATGATTAAGGTGACCATTCTGCTGATTTTATATTTCTTCAAGGGCCATTAAGACCTTGAGTGGGGCTGAGGAGAGCCTTGTGAGCCTCACCTTCCCTGAGGTGAGCCAGAAGCAGCACCGAAATTCTACCCAGGATGCCACCAGTATTCAAAGAAACGGCTGGCTCTTTGCTGCCCACCATAGCTCCGGAGGCACGGGGCAGTTCCTATATTTTTCATCAGCAGAAGCCTCTAGTTCTGAGGCAGAACTGGCCTGTCCGCCTGTAGTAACATAGCCACGAAAACGCCAGCGGGAGCGGGACACTTTCTCCGGGCGCAGCGGTAGACGCTGCTGCCCGCCCCCAATCGGATTCGCCACAGCTTCGGTCTGCGACAGCCGCGCCCGTGGGCACCGGGCAGGCGCGCAGTGTCCAAGCGAGCTTCAGCCGCCGCCCTGCGTTGTAGCTGCGCGAAGGGAAGCGAGAATGGCTTCCGGAGCCTGACCGCGGCGGCCCCGCTCGAATCAGTGCCGCCGGCCCTGTCTCAGGCTCGGGCCGCCGCCCACGGAAAATGGCTGCCTCCCCCCGCCCTTCTCGAAGCGGCCGCTGCCGCTCAGGGGACTCCGGAGCCGAAGCCAAAGGGGAAGCAGCTTCTCGGTTATTACCTCGGACAGATCGGCTTCCGTGGAAGCCCCTTCCCGCTTTCTCAGGCTCAAATGCAAGCCGCCCCCCGCCACTCTTGAGGAGCGCAGCTGTCCGCCCCAAACCACTCGGAGGCGGGAGCGGCGAGGGGTGCGGCCAGCAAGGGTTCGGGACGGAGGCCTGGCACCACCGGCGTCAACACAAATCCTCTCTGCCCCTGCCAGACAGGAGCGCGATCCGCCGCGCCTCAGCGGTGGCGGAGAGCCCGCGCGCCGACCGGAAGCGGAAGTGACGCGTTTCCGAGGGCTTCTGGCAGTCCCGCCCCGCGGAGGCCCGCCCCTACTGGGGGAGCCCGTCCGGCCGCGGCGGCGAGTGCCCGCGCCTCCCTCCCTCTCTCCCTCCGTGGGGAACCAGCCGCTAGCCCGGCACAGCCCCGGAGGCGTGGAGGAGTTAATGCTACCGAGTTTTCGGACGCGCCGAAGCCTAGAAGGCCCCGCACCGGCTCGTATCGTGGGTGTCGCCGTGTCGTGTCCCCACTGTGGGAGGCGTCGCGCGTCCACATCATTCCTGCGTGACTTTCGGGGGCCGGCCGGCGGCGTCTGGTCACCGGGAGCCTCGCCCGGTAAGGGTCGCCGCCCCGGGTGTCGAGGGGCCGCCTCCCGACTGTGCGCGCCGCTCCCGGCCTTCCTGCGGCCCAGCCGGCCGAGCTTGAGCTGCCTTCGCTGGGTTCGTCGCAGCCTCCTCGAGGAAGAGGCTCTTTTGTCCCGGTCAGGCCATTCGTAAGATCAGGAACAATAGCCCCTGAGGGTTTTGTGCCGTTTCTGGTCGTCTGGCGCATTTCTCACAACTATTATGTTTATTTTTCTTGTGTGTTTTTAACGTGTGAAATAGGTTCCATTTACCTTGCTCCTTGACAGAGAAATTGGGACCTAAGAAGTGACTTGCTCAGAGGCACGTAGTCTACCTACCAGTGGCAGCTGCTAAACTGGAGTGTAGCTCTCTTGTCATATCTTCTGCTTTTTCCACTATGGTATGCTTCCCTGGAAGACGGGAATCTTGTTTCCATCTTGTATCTCTTGCAGTGTCTAGCATAGTCACTTGGGTAAGATAGGCATTCCATAAGTATTTACTGATTCATATTTATAAGAATCTGAGTATTTTGGGTTGTCAGTGATCTCCGGATTATTAATTTCTTTGTAATGTTAGCCTATACCAGTCAAGGATTATTAAGTCTACTATGTATAGCCAGTGCTACGGAGTTGAGTAAGACATCTTTGTCCTTAAGCAATCTAATAAAAGGACTGAAGCAGTTTCTTGAATATCTGTAACACAAGGTAGTAATAAGACATCAGCTGAATACGGTGAGAACTCCAAGGAATAAGTTAATTTTGAGTTGGGGAAAATTATAAAAGACCTTGATGAATTTTTCCCACAGCAGGGAGTGGGAATACATTCCGGACACATGGAAGGGTAAGGAGCAAAGGCTTAAAAGCCGGAAAGATCTGTAGTACATTTTTACTGAGTTGGGCTACATTTAGAGGAAGAATTTAAAAAATTAGAAAATAAGTTTATGTGGACCTTATACTGGAGTCCTTTGAATGGGAACAAGAAGACTGCATTTAAGAAAGTAAATCTTGGAGCACCATTTGAGGGTTTTTGATGGAACTTCTTTCTAGGGCAGTTCATCTGAGGTAAGTTTAAGGTGAGAACAAAGATCAGAGGCCATTACCAAGCCATTATGCTATCTTTGCTTTTGGATAGATGGTAAATGTACTTCTCCAAGGCATAGATCTTGATCCTTTTTAAGTAAGAGAAAGAGACTAAACAGAGACAATAATAATGAACATCTGCCTAAGTCACTTGAACATGTGTCAAAGCAGGTTCATTAGAATCATGATTTCCTTAGACTCTCAGTCAGGTTGAGGCTTAATTTCTTCAAAAGTAATTATTGTTCCCAGTCTCTCAGAACTAATAGACAGTAATGCCCTTGACACTGGGATTCTCATCATCTGGCCCAATGCTGAGCATATAATTAGAATTAATTAAGTTGAATAAATGAAGTCCAGCCAGCAGTGCCCTTGGATGTCACTGACAGACCTAATTCATAACATAGGTAGAGAGCTGGTTGAAGGGAGAAGGAAGTAGGAAAAGAGACCTGTGGAAAGAAGAAGAGGAAGCAAGGCACACATTGTGAGTAGGGAAGGAGGCCACTGATGATTTTCAGTGTGTGCAGTTTGGTCCCAGAGTTGTATTCTTCCTGTGGAGCCCACAAAAGTTCCCCGAGTCTTTCCTTTTGATTCACCTCCCCGCTTGGGCACTGTTTCAGAAATGATGAATATACAGCTGAGAAACAAAGAAAGCAAATACACTGAGTTAATTCTGAGAGACCCACACAATTACACAATGCACTGAATATTTTTGCTGGGTGACTGGCTGGAGTTAATGGTGCTACTATTGGCTTAAAAATACTCTTTTTTCTTCCTTTTCCATTCATAATAGTTACCTTTAATAATTGCCTTAGTTAAAACTGCCTTTTATAAAGTTGCTTGATCTTAGCCTGTCACTGGCTCTGTCCCTTAATTAGTATCGTATTCTTTCATGATCTTCTCAGTGCCCCATAACCCAAAGCTGCCATTTCTTGCAATAAATGTTAGAGGAAAATCAATGGTGTGACTTCTGGGTTCCTAGATGAGAGACTTGACAATATTCTATGTATTAATAGTTGGGGAATGAATGGGGCTGTCAGGCTTTGCCCTAAAGGAGAGTAAGAATAACTGAGATAACAATCGTTTTCCTCATTTCTCTGACATACTTTTCTTTCTTCATAGCACCTGGAATGGATAAAAGTGGCAGTTTTTGTTTCTTCCCATGAGGTTGTGTATCTGGAATGAGAACCATGAAATTAATCGAGTCTAGGACATTTCTAAGGACCTGGAATGGCTTTGGGCAGCACCAGGAGGACCTCAAAGGAGTATTTGAGAGCACAGAGCAACGGAAGAGTTTTCTAACAGAAGGATTTATGGGAAACAATTGATCAGAAACACCAGTAGAGAAACCTTTTAGATTTCTTCAGGCTGTGGAAAAGTTGAGTCTTGGTTCAAATTATGTAAAATATACACTGAAAAGAAATAAAAGTTCAAACATGAAAAGTATGTTACTGAACTCCCTAACATAAATTTAGGAAAACAAATGAAAGGACAGATCTTTTAAATTTTGAAAGTATGGTAAAATATTTGTAAAACTTTGGGGCTCATCTCTAAGAATTGCCTTGATTCTGAAACTTGATAATATTTCAAATAGAGAATAGTTTCAGTGAAAAATGACACTCCAGAATACATCACATGTACCCAAGGAAGAAGATCTAAGAGTGGAAAAGTGCCACTAACAAATATATTATTTATGTACTTAGAAATTACCGTAGCAAATACAAGAGACACTCAAGTTAAAGCTTAGTCTGTGAGAATGCTATAGTGAATGCAGTAAAAGTTGGATTTCATTCATATGTACAACAGAAACTACCAACTTGCTTCTTCACTTCAAGATTCTGTATGACTGTTCCCAAATCCCAGCTCTCCAGACATCCCAATTCAGTGTCCTTGCAGCTTGTAGTCTTTATCCAGGTAGATGAACTGCTACCCAGTGAACAAACACTACATGCAGAGCAATATGAGTACCATTTTCTTTTCCGGCAGTGTGGTAAATCAGGTCTTCTTGGAAGGGGAGAAGCTATATAACATCTCGGCTACACAAGATTACTCTGTCCTTGCCTTTAAGTCTTTTACACCCTTCTTTTCAAGCATCACTTTTGATTGAGACTAATCCTACCTTGGACTGTTCTTGTGGGCACATCTCACTGAATGCCTCCTCTCTTCATTTTGTCTCTTTTCCTCTATAGAGTTATGGAAAATATGCAGGTATCTCCATCATTCCTGACTGGGGCTGCTATATTTGTCAAGAGAGAGGAGAAGGAGCAGGGGGATTCTGAAAACTGATCACTTGTGTCTTTCAGTAGCAACAGCCAGACAGGACTTTGGCAATGGCAACTTTCTGAGTACCTAAGACCTTTACCTCAAGACTAGCTCTTCAATACTGATACTCCCTTTCAACCTATCAGCCACCAGTACAAATGCCTGTGCCTTCTGGGGCTTTGAGCTAGATTTTTGTTTTTTAAAACATTTTTTTCCCAATTCAGTAAGGCTTTTTCCTTTGTTTTCTCCTGTTGGTTGTTCAAAATTATTCAGTATGAATAAGAGAGGGAAATACACAACACTGAATTTGGAGGAGAAAATGAAGGTTCTAAGTAGGATTGAAGCTGGACGATCACTTAAAAGTGTAATGGATGAATTCGGAATCAGTAAATCAACATTTTATGACATTAAAAAGAATAAAAAATTGATTTTGGACTTCGTACTGAAGCAGGACATGCCATTAGTAGGGGCTGAGAAGAGAAAGAGGACAACAGGAGCCAAATATGGCGACGTAGATGATGCGGTCTACATGTGGTACCAACAGAAACGCTCAGCTGGTGTCCCTGTTAGAGGTGTGGAGCTTCAGGCTGCTGCCGAGAGATTTGCACAGTGTTTTGGGCGAACAGACTTCAAAGCAAGCACTGGCTGGCTTTTCAGATTTCGAAATAGGCATGCAATTGGGAACCGAAAAGTATGTGGGGAACAAGTCCTAAGTTCAGCTTCTGAAAATGTTGAGCCATTTCGACAAAAACTGTCCATGATAATCAAAGAGGACAAACTGCGTCTGGCTCAGCTATACAGTGGGGATGAGACTGACCTCTTTTGGAAGTCAATGCCAGAAAATACTCAGGCAAGCAGAAAAGATATCTGCCTGCCAGGGAAGAAAATAAACAAAGAACGGTTGTCTGCCCTTTTATGTGCAAATGCGGATGGAACTCATAAGTTAAAATCAATCATTATTGGAAAATCAAAGTTGCCCAGAAGTGTGAAAGAGGACACAAGTACATTACCAGTGATATATAAATCTAGTAAAGATGTTTGGTTCACGAGAGAATTGTTTTCAGAATGGTTTTTTCAAAACTTTGTACCTGAGGTCCGGCATTTTCAACTTAATGTTCTAAGAGTCCATGAAGAGGATGTCAGAGCATTGTTACTTCTGGACAATTCCCCAGCTCACCCTTCCCCTGAATCACTAACCAGTGAGGATGGTCGGATAAAATGCATGTTCTTTCCCCATAACATTTCAACCTTGATTCAACCAATGAATCAAGGTGTGATCTTGAGCTGCAAACGACTTTATAGATGGAAGCAACTGGAAGAGAGTCTTGTAATTTTTGAAGAAAGTGAGGATGAGCAAGATAAAGGAGAAAAAGGAGTTTCTAAAATTAAAATCTACGATGTAAAAAGTGCAATTTTTAACTGGGCAAAAAGCTGGGATGAAGTAAAACAAATAACCATAGCAAATGCATGGGAAAATCTTCTTTGCAAAAAGGAACCAGAATATGATCTTCAAGGCTTAGAAGATGGGGATTATAGAGAAATTCTTGAAAAATGTGGAGAGTTGGAAACAAAGCTGGGTGATGATAGGATGTGGTTAAATGGAGATGATGAAGAAAAGGAGTGTCCCCCAGAAACAAAAAGTGAGATTACAAAGGAAGTTGTTCAAAAAGGAGGAGGAGCTGAGAAACAGACTGAATTTAAATTATCTGCTGTTAGAGAAAGTTTGGACTACCTTCTTGACTTTGTTGATGCCACACCTGAATTTCAAAGGTTCCATTTCACACTGAAAGAGATGCAACAAGAAATAGTGAAGAAACAATTCCAAAGTAGAACCCATTCTAGAATTGGTAGCTTTTTGAAACCTAGGCCTCATAATATTAAGGATTCCTTCAATGGGCCTTCAACTTCTGGTTCTAGTAATTAGATTTTGTGTTTAGAGATTTCTGCAGATGTATAATAATATATGGTATAGGCCTGTTGTGAATTATCATGTTTTATCAACTGATATTATTTTGCATATCAATGCCCATTTATATATTGGTTATAAAATATAGTTTGAAAATAATAAATTTGTTTCTTTAAATGTATTTTTTAAATAAATTTATGTTTTGTTCCTTCATTTTTTTTCTATTTTAGACAAGGATCTGAATAATGAAGTATTATCCCAGATTATCTATAGTGGAATACCTGTGAGAAAAGCATTAGTATAAATTCCATCTTAATATATTCATATCATATAACAAATAAGCTTAGGTGCTGACTAGTTCTAGTTAACTTTAAGAAGATAAGGATAGATTAGGTTTTCAATTTAATGCTAGGACACACTGCTTTCTTAACTGTGTTATCACCTATTTAGTGCTTATTTCCCTTTTACTGTGGAAGTAACGTGTTAACTATAGAAAATACATATAAAAAGATATATAAAGATAAAAAGCAGCCAATTCCATTGAACAATGATATCAATGGCCAGTGATATATAAGCCTATAAACCTCCTCTTAACACTTTGGTGTATATCATATATTTTAAAAATAGGCATATTACATTGTAAATAAAACTTTATATCTTATTGTCTTAATATATTTTACGCTTTGGTATTAATAAGTTAGCATTTGTTGTGTATATAGGATTGTATACATGTGCTTATTTAGTCTTCATAGTAACTTCCCCCACTTTTAAATATATAAGGAAATAGGTTTAGAGAGGTTAATTTGACAAAGGTCACATAAGCAGAGATGACTTTTAAATTCTATTTAATGCCAAAGCTCAGGCTTTTAACCATCATGCTACACTATTTCTGAGAATTTCCTTCATGTCATTAAAATCTCTTCAAAAACCTCAAATAGAATGTACCATCAGTTGAACCATTCTCCTACTGAACAGTATTTGCTTCCTATTTTTCAAAGTAAATAATATGGTGAACACCTTTTTGCAGAAAAGTTCAAACTAGTACCTTAAGGTAGGTTATTAAAAATTAGACCACCAGATCAAAGAGAATGAACTTCCAAAAAAATTTTGGTACACACTGCTGAATTGTTTTTATATTCCAACCATTAGTTTGAAAGTACGTCTCTCAAGGTATCAATCCCAGCATTGACTATTGTTATTCTATGCCAATTTTATAACCAAAAGCATGGTATCTTTATGGCTATTCCCCATTTTAGCATGATGGTGAACATTTAAGTTGATATTTGCAAGTAACATGCTTTGTCAGGATAATAAGTTCTTCCTCATTGGCTTTTCATGTTTTCTTGTGTTTCAGTTTTCTGAAATGCATGTATTCTGTTCCATTGGTCAATATTAGGCAACTATAGTGTAAAATTAATGACTGAATGTAGTACTTGTGTCTACTTTTGCTCTAGTACCTTACCATTTTAATCACTGATTAATGTCTGTTTAAATAAAAGGCAAATGCCCATTTTCCATCTTCAAAAACATACAAGCTATTCTTACCTGTTCTTCTGAGTCAACTTCAGCATAAAATTTATTCAAGTCTCTCCCAGACATCAACTGGGACTTTATTCTTTTTTTTTTTTTTTTTTTTT